AAATATTTTAATAAAGTTTGAAGGGTATTATATGTTTTCAGTTTTGTAAAATAATCATATTTGTTGAAAAAATAATATTTATACTATTTATAATCCTATATAATGTACAGATACAGTATTTATTTGTTAAAGATTTTATTTTAAATATTATTTGTTTTTGTGTATTTTACTTAAACCTATAATATCAAGTTTAATTTTTCGAATCTTTATTAATGTTTATTAATACCAATTTTATGAAAGAAAAAGACAATTGGGATGACTGTATTGATGAAATGATCACCAAATGGGAATCATTCGAACTGTTTGAACCAGAAGAAGACAATTTTATCAAAAAAGAAGAGAATTTAGAAGATTTAAAAGAATTAATCACAAAAAGAGAATAAAAAACAGTAAGAATAAATTAATTTTATTGATTAACCCAAAGTAAGCTTCAATTCTTTTATAATTTTATCATTTATTTTGTATTCGTTGTCATTGTTACATAGCAAAATCAAATCTTTATATATCATTAAAATTTAAATAAACGACATATATTTGCATGCATTTTAAAGGTTATAGCACTATAAGATACAAGTATTGCGTGCTTCTCCTGTGACTATAAGAAAATTGTAAAATATAAAAATAGATCAGTAGTAAAGCTATTCAAAAAATTAGAATCTTAAATTTACCATTTAAAATTTTATGAAATGTTATTATTTCATATAATTGTTGTAAAACTTTTCATCTAATACTTTCTTTTTAAATTTAATCTCTTTTAAATTAAACACAAGTATATTTAATAGTCTGTTCTTCTGTTTATTTGCATATAATGGTCGATGGCTGACTTTTCAGAAAAAAATAAATAACTTTGCTGTTCTTTCATTTATTTTTCTTAAAAGAACAAATTTCAAATTGAAAAATTATAAAACAGTCTCAACAAATATGAAAATTTATTCATATATTTATTATCTATTTCATAACATAATTTTTTTATTCAAATCAAGTTATTAGGGTAGAAGTTGTTGAAGTATTTTATATTAAAATTTATGATAAACAATATAATATATATTTAAGAGTCTTTGGTTTATACGTGTGAAATTAAAAACTTTTTGTTTTTTAAATACCTAAAAAGTATGTTATCCTTGTGATTAAGGTACATTTGTTTTTATAAGACTGAAAAGAAGAAAGTAAAAACATTCCGTGTGAAATGTTTTGATTGTTCTGGATGATAAAAAACAAAAAAACTGTATTATAAGATAAGTTATATTTTTAAAGCTTTAAACGCTTCTGTTTACCATATTTTACTTTTAATCTTGATATATCATGTTTGATTCAAAATAAAAACAAAATATTTTTGTTTGAAGTTTTATTGGGGATTATTAATAAGTATAATCTGGTAAGTCAAGTCTTAAAAGTATTTCACTAGATTATAATGTGGTTTTAATTTAAATGAAAATAAAATTTATGATTTGAGATATAAATTAAAAATCTGTCAATCAGTATAAAACTATGAAATATATAGATTATTTTTTCTTGCATATCTTTTTTCTAATTACATTGCCGATCGAATAAAGATTTAAAAATTCCATGTATGAAAGTTAAATAAAATTTTAAACGATTAGAATCAATTGCTTTGGTTGAATTGGAGAATGTGAAATGTCTTTAATGAGAATTTTAAACAATAAAATTATTTTATTAGAATTTTTTACTTTTCTAAATACTCTAAATTTAAATCCGAGTATGTTCATAATTAATCATATAAATCACATATCTTTGACATTTACCTTATAATATGTAATTTAAAAATAAATAATTGCAGCAAATAAATTATCAAATTTTTAAGAAGAATTCTAGAAAATCTCAATATTTTAAAAATCAAGATTTTGATTATTTTAAAATTAAGATATTATTTTTTTATAGTTTAGTGTTTTATTTGCATTTAAAATCTAGAGATCCAAGATGTTTTAAATAAGAAAAAATTGAACAGTAGAATTCAAAACCCAAAATCCATTTAAATTAAATCATTTTTAATAAACTCTAATAATAAAATAATTTAGTAAAATCTAATAATAAATTTAAAAAATAAATTTAATAAACTCTAAAAATAAAATAATTTAGTCCTTAAAAACACCTCTGGAAGTTGTTGGTTTGGCTCATTAGGTATCAAAAAACAAGTTTCTTAGCTTTCAGTGTTCAAGCAAGATTCTAACGCTGATAACTGATCAGAAAACTTTTCAAAAGGAATGTTTAAATAACTGATGATTTTCTTAGCTTTTTTCTCTGAATCCATAAAATTAAAAATTATAAAATTAAAATTCATTAATTAATTCCAGCGTAAATGTAAATTAATCTGAATCGCATTGATCTTCTTTATAAATTATTTTTCTTAAATTAGTTCTTAATGGCTCTTCACATTGATCAACGGCGTATTCTAATTTATCTTTAGTATTTTCGAATAAGTCTATTGATTTTTTAAACACTTTCGAATAAGTCCAATATTGGTTTGTATTATTGGTTCAAAGTTATCTAATATCAGCGAAATAAAAAAATTTCTATCGTATTTTTTTAATGATTGGATTGAATAATTGCCAAGTGGGTGTGAAATCAGTAAAGGTGCATATTTCTCAAAGTAATCAACAACTAATTTTTTGTAAATTTGGGGTTGTTACTAAATTTAAAATTGTTTGAATACGTATGCTCCGTATTTTGTGGCTGATATTGGTCCAATATCATACTCTAACTCATCTATCAAAAATTTTAATTGGTCCTGGTTGATGGATTTCAAAACATATTGCATAAAAATGTTTGATTGAACACCCACACAAAGTTCTTTAGCATTTTTTAGGATGCAATCGAAATCACCTTGCTTGAATGATTCTTCTATTGATTCAAGTTCTTGGTTTGAGATCTTTTTAAAAATAGTACCAAAGAAAACTATTCTATCGTTAAATTCGTTAAAAACTTCATTTTTCATATAATTTGAATTACTTTCCAATGACATGTTAAATTGTTGTTTATATTTTCTAAAACTTTGATTTTTTCTGTTTGATTATCATTTTTTTAGGACAAATGTCTCTGTTAACTTCCACGTTTACCATTTCTTCATAGTATTTTAATTCGCTCTTCTCTCTATCAGATGCATATTTATTTTCAAATGACATCGAATGATTACATTTGTTTTCGGTATAAAAAATTAATGCATCAGTCACAGTTGCAAAATAAAGGTATAACACATTTTTTAGTATTTTAGCTCTTTGGATTGATAAGTTGTTTTCTATTTTTTGAATAATGAGACATTTAAATAAGGTTTTGCGTGTGTTATATTTTTAGATACTTCAGATTCACATTGATCCAATTCTGTATCTGTGTTAATTATCTCAGAATATTCTAAGTTTACTTCTTTATTCTTTGAACTTGACATAGAAACAAAAGATTGCTCTGTTTCGGATATGATCTGATCATAACTTTTGCCATTATTCTCAGTTTGATTATTTGCAAACACGTTTATATTGTTTGCATTTTTTAATAAAGATGTTTCAAATAACGTTTCCTCTTCTTCTATTTCATAAACGTACGTCCCAATAATTACTCTGATTATATTAGTAGGTTTTTCTATTACACCAGGATTTTTCATATAGCACTAAAAAATTTTTTTATATCTTTGTAAAGACCAGTGATTAAAAAATATTTTTCAATTTTCAAATATTTGTCAATCAAATTTTACTACTTTATTAATTACAAATCTTTATTTACTAAAAAATACTTTTATACATAAAATAACTTATTACAGTGTATTTTTCATTAGTATATGACAAATGAATTTAATAAAATGAAAGTATTATTTTAAATCTTAATTTTTTACCTAAAAATTAAAGTAAATAATTTTCACGAATTAGATATTTTTAACTGAATTATCTTTTTCTTGTTTTGATAATTTCACTATTTTGAACGAAATTCAATCAAGAAAAGTTAAAATTTTAAAAAATATTTTTTAGTTTTGTAGAATAAACAATTAAAAAATCTTTTTTTTACAAAGATTAAAGATAAGTATTTATTGTATAATGTCTTTTATAATTTAATTTTCTTATAAAAGCTTTCTAAACTACTTTAATAATCATTTAAGTATCTCAACTCAATTTGCTTTCATAATTAAACACTTTGTTCTAACTATGATCTTTTCTTTTATGATCTTGAGTATTAAATAAAGTTTTTTTTAAAAAAGATATGTCTTTTTCTACCTTAAAATATTCATTTTTATTTTATTTCTTACATTGTTTATGATAATTAAACTTTTCTTTTGGTTAAAGATAGTAATGATTTACCAATATATCATCTATATATGATAGAAAAATAGTATTAGTAAGAAATATATGTAAAAATATGTTTCTATATAATTAGGTATAGATTAAGATAGTGTAAATTTATACATACTAAAACCTATACTTGTGCACTCTATTGACAGCTTAAGTCTACCTTAACTTATGGCATTGGTTACTCAAACATATAATCTTTCTAAATTTTGTTCATAAAATGATTTTATTTGTAAGAAAAATCATATTAAATTTCTTAATCAAGTAAATAAAATTTATTATTTTTTTAAAGTTAATGTAATTTTTTACAAATTTAATTCAAGGATTAAAAATTATAAACTTAAAAATTAAATATTTTTTGTTGTATTTTTAAAAAGTGTTTAATTTAAAATACTTATTTTGTAAAAGGAGGTTTTAATTTTTTGAAACTGTTTTTTTCTCTCTAGGCTCAAAAATACTTTCCAATTTTTCTAAATCAAATTTCTTTTTAGTATTATCAGACTTTTCTTTTATTTCAATATTCTTTGTTATCGAGTTAGATCCGTAGTTACCATGTTCTTTTTTATCCAATAAACAACTTTCAAAAAATAAAAGATGATCAAATAAATTACTTTCATAATTATGGCTTATTTTTTTTAAATTATTATTTCTAAAAAAGGAAATTAATACAAAATTATTTTAAAATTAGAAGATCTAAATTTTATTAAATAATTAAACTGCTCCGGTATATTTTACTAATTCAGTACCAAGAACAAGTTGTCCAATTTCACTCTTATCCATTCCCACGCATTGGTTAACATATTTACACAATCTAGGCCCAACTGAGGCATCGAACGATCCGTCACTTGCTGAAAAGGCGTGTGCACTTCCTGTTAGGGCATTAAGAATGACTCCTTTGATCAGAGCTCTTGTCTCTGCTGCTCCTTTCCATAATACCCCCATGACTCTACCACATCTAAGGTTTGAATAAACTGTTTCTAATTCTGAGGTGGATGAGATGTATGGACATGCCCAAATAAATAAATGGATACCAATATTATCAGTAAAACTTTGTTTTAAATAAAAAGAAAATGCCGAAGAAGTCCTCTCAATTACTGGCGAAGTTTTTTCGCATGAAATGTCAAATGCCGCATTTGTTCCCATAAAATCATCTGTGTTGTAACCGTCCAAATTTAAATGAAATTGTACTTTAAATTTCATCAAGAATACGTTTAGTTCGTCAATGATTGTACCAAAGTAAGCCTCTACGGACTCGGACTCTGCGATTGAATGTATTGATCTTATAACTAGATCCTGTGCATGTACCTTCAAATCAACTGTAAAGGTTTTATTTTCATCTGTGCAAGCCATGCTATCCACTGCCGCGGCAGCTATATGCTCAGCAGTAGCAGCAGCATCAACAGCGTTCTTCACTCCGCCATCACCCCAAGAAAATGACCATGATTCCGAAGTACAAAATATTAAGGATATATTTAAAAATAGCATTAATAACATAAAACTGGTCACTAAATTTTTTATATTTCCTTTTCTAAAACAATTTTGTTTTATAGATCAATAAATAAAAAAAGATTCTTGTTTTAAAAAAAAAACAGATTTTTCATTAGAAGAAAAACCACAATTTTTTTCTTCTAATTTGTTTAAAAAATCTTTTACAGCAAATCTTCATTTAGTTCATTTTTTTCTTTTATTAAATTGAAGTAAGCTTCTATTTCTTTTGAAAAAAATTTTCACTTAAGTATAAAATTTAAAGAATTCAAATATTTTTAATCCTGTAGGGCAAGTTATAGTAATCGCAAAAAAATTGAAAATTTTTATATATCTTTAAAAACATTTTGGATGTATGTATGTGTGTGTGTGTGTGTGTATATATGTATGTATGTATGTATGTATGTATGTATGAAGTCAATTTCGAATTGGTTCAATTCTAATAATCTTTTGCTCAATAATGACAAAACCCAAATTATGTTTTTTCGAACAGTTAATAGGATAAGTCATGAGATCAATTCTTTAACTATCAATAGCATTCAATTTGAATTTTCCTCAGTCTCAAAATTTCTAGGCATCCAATTACAAAAAAACTTAAACTGGGACAATCATATTCATTCCATACTTGTACCTAAGTTAACTAAAACCTGTTTCATGTTAAGAATTCTTAAATCAAAAGTTAGTTTAAATTGCCTTCTTTTGATTTATTATTCTAATTTCTATTCGCATCTCGCTTATGGAATACAATTCTGGGGATTCTCATCATCCTTAAAGGATATATTCAAAATACAGAAAAGAGCATTAAGAATAATTTTTTCCCTCAGTTCCTTATCCTCACGTAGGAATCTTTTCCGACAATATAACATTCTCACTGTTCCCTGTATATTTTTGCTAATTACGTTGTCATTCATAAAGAATAATCCTGAACGCTTCAACCTATCCTCCATGTTAAATTCCTATTATAAAATAAGAAATTTGACTATAAAATGACCAACTTTTAAACTGGAAACATCTTTTAATACCATAGACGGAAGAGGAGTACAGCTTTTTAATCTACTCCCACTACATATTAGGAAACTGAATGATCGTCAATTTCATAATACTATCGTTAAACTTTTAAAAGCTCAAAGTTTCTACGATACTTCTGAGTTTGCCAATTTCGATATCAAACATTATTTTGATAATGAAATGCCTACTGTTACTAATTAATACTTTTTTTGCAACAGTTACAATTTTTTCCCCTTTTCAATACCTTTTCTAATTTTTAACTTCCCGTAGGGCAAGTTATAGTAATCGCAAAAAAATCGAAAATGAAAATTTTTATATATCTTTACGTTTCAAAGGTTTCTGAACATTTTGGCATACCTTAGAAAAAAATGGATGTATGCGTGTGTGTGTGTGTGTGTATGTGTGTGTGTATGTGTGTGTGTATGTATGTACGTGTGTGTATGTATGTGCGGATACAAATTTTCGTCGACGATTTCGGGAACACGGGTCAACCGATTTGAATAATTCAAAAAACATTCGATTCGTATTGATAAGGAGACGTGCTGATTAGTTTTTGGCGAAGGCAGGTCTAGCCGTTCCGAAGATACGGGGCAAAAAGTGCCGAAAACGGTAACTCAGTTTTTAAGAGAACGGAGCGTCCGATTTGAATAATTCAAAAAACATTTCACTTGTATTGACAAGATGAAGAATCGATAAAATTTTCATGAAGGTAGGTCTAGCGGTTTCGGAGATATGGAGGAAAAAGTAAAAAAAATGAGCTATTTGGCGGTCAAAAATGATCATTAGACATATGCACATCAAATTATCAGATATTTTATAGAGATTTTAACAATAAGTATACATTTTGTTAACATTCCTATGGGTTCCGTACCAATGCTTATGCGTTAGACAGAGACGCGGCGCTTACGCGCTTTATATTTTGTCCCTATGCAGTTAAAGCAGTACGATTGCTTTGAAAAAAAGTTGAGATCTTCCACAATATGTCAAAATAAAGAAAAAATTTTTTTTCAAAAAAAACAAAAAAAAAATTAAAAAAATTTTTTTTCAAAAAAAAGTAATTTTTTGTCCAATTTATAGTTTCTCAAAAATCTTATTTTTTCAAAGTATTTTTTTTTCAAAAATGTTAATCGTTTTTAAAAAAATAATAATTTTTGGTACGGGAAGTTCCAGCAATTTGCCTTAAGGCACGATGCCCTAATTGCCTTAAGACAGAATTCCACTTATCATTCTAAATTATTTTACCATTTTTAGTTAAGGAAAATATACTATTATTTCAAATAATTAACATTTTTAGGGATTGTTCAAGCTTTTAATAATGTAACACATACCTATTTTTTTTCATAAATTTTATAAACTTTTGGAGCCACAGGAAATATTTTTAGAAAATCATTAGTATTAGAAATGACTAACAAATTTGGAATGTATAAATATGTGATATATAAATAAAAGGGACAGCTAACACAAATTACATTGATAATTTACCCGCTACAACGCTAAAATACTACAATACATAATTAGGTTATGCTATGCATAGCGAAACGAGTAAAATTTCAATAACTCTGAAAAAAAATCAGTTTTCTCTCAAAAACAGTTTTATCTTCAGATTATAATGTTAAATTTCTAATTTTTTGCTAGAATTGCTCTTTCTGCAAGACATTCAAAAACTATGTACTTCTAATACACATCGGGAAATATATGTACGGTAGGATAAGCCTGCAAATCAGTTGGTTTTATCGGAGGTAACCATTTCGTTGCCAATATCTAAGAATTGTTTTTAAAATTTTGCAGAACGGATAAATTCAACCTTTTTTATTAACTCAGAAAATTCTTGATCAAATTTTTATTAAAAACGTTCACAAAAAAGGCGATATTAGTTAATTGATTGATTACCGAGCTAAATAAAAAATGATTGGACTACTAAAATGAATATTATAAAATAAAGAAAATTTGGAATTGTATGTAGTTTTCCATTCCGCATTAATAAAATTAAAATAAAGAACAAAATTTAAAAAAAGTGTTACGCTCTTACAACCCATGATAAAAATAAATTGCTTTTTCTTTTAAAATAAAATTGAAGCTTTTTCATAAACTCAAAAGTCTGAACTAAAATTAAGTCAAAAGATTTGTTGACTGAGGGCGGAAATAATGTAATTGCAGCAAAATTAAAAATTGGCACAAGAATCACATCTAAAAACTGCCATTTTTTAGCATTTTTTCTGAATGAATGAATTATTATCCAGCGACTTTTCTTTTGTGGATCTGTGTAATTGTTTGCACACATACGTACTTTCAAAAATATAATTTGATTTGGATTTTTTTTTTCAAAAGCGAAAATTTCTTAGGGCTGACATGAGATTTATAAAAAATTGCGATGTTTACTGAAAAAATACATTTTCTAAATCTGTACTAATTTGCATGGTAAATGGCGAAGAAAACATATACATGAGAACAGCTGTTTTGTTAGCTTTGAATATTTGGAATTACAATTAAAATTTGTTCACATTTTCGTTTCCTGAAAATGAAATGTGAAACATCTTGTGTTTGCAACTGCAAATCAAAAGATATTATTCTTTATTACCTAAATGACGAAATTACTACAATTGTTTTTTCATATCTAAAAATAATGATTTAAATCTCGCGACAAGTTCTCAATTTTTCTTGCAATATTGTTAACTAATGTTTAAATTAATATTTATTTTATTAGGAAATGCTATTTCAACAGTTTTTACCAGTATTTGACTGATATCAAAATTAGCCTTTACAGCTGTATTTGATAAAATATCTAGAAAAATAATCTGTAGTTGAAAAATGCTTGGCGGGCCGCGGGTTGCTCATCCTTGATCTATAAAATGGAGAACGCGCCAACTGTACCGGACAGAAAATTTCAACTGAGGAAAATTGTAGTAAAAATGGGAACTAACGGCGCGTGGCATAGTGCCTTAAAACAAATTGCTGGAAGATTTCGTACCAAAAAGTAAATTTTTTAAAAAAAAATTGAAAAAGTTAAATTTGTAAAGACATTTTTGAAAATAATATATTTAGAATTTTTCTGAAAATTTTGACCTTTTTTTCAAAGCAATCGCGTTACATAGCTGTGTGTATGTATGTATGTATGTATGTATGTACGTGTTTGTATATATGTGCGGATACAAATTTTCGTCGACGATTTCGGGAACATGAATGAAGCGATTTGGATAATTCAAAAAACATTCGATTTGTATTGATAAGGAGACGTGCTGATTAGTTTTTGGCGAAGGCAGGCCTAGCCGTTCTGAAGATACGGGGCAAAAAGTGCCGAAAACGGTAACTCAGTTTTTAAGAGAACGGAGCGTCCGATTTGAATAATTCAAAAAAACATTTTACTTGTATTGACAAGATGAAGAATTGATCAAATTTTCATGAGGTCAGGTCTAGCGGTTTCGGAGATCTAACGAAAAAAGTAAAAAAAAATGCCATTTGGCGGTCAAAAATGATCATTAGACATGCGCACCTCAAATTATCAGATATTTTATAGAGATTTTAACGATAAGTATAAATTTTGTTTACATTCCTATGGGTTCCGTACCAATGTTTATCCGTTAGACAGCGACGCGGCGCTTACGCGCTTTATATTTTGTCTCTATGCAGTTAAAGCAGTACGATTGCTTTGAAAAATAGTTCAGATCTTCCAAAATATATCAAAATAAATAAAACATTTTTTTTTCAAAAAAAAAAATTAAAAAATAATTTTTTTTTAAAAAAATTTTTAAAAAAATTTTTTTTTTCAAAAAAAAGTAATTTTTTGTTGAATTTATAGTTCCTCAAAAATTTTATTTTTTTGAAGTAAAATTTTTATAAAAATGTTAATCGTTTTTTAAAAAAAAAATAATTTTTGGTACGGGAAGTTCTAGCAATTTGCCTTAAGGCACGATGCCTCAATTGCCTTAAGACAGAATTCCACTTACAGCTAGTTCTCTTAGGAATAGAACATAAATGAATGTTTCTTTTTATTT